AACGTAGATTTCATTTAAACGACTGACAATATTTCGTGAGATGAGTCTCGATGAAATGACATTTTCAGCGTGAATAGCTGAAAATTTAGTTGAATGGGTTGGACATTCAAAGCGAGTTTGTTGAAAGAAATCTCAACGTGCTTTACGCTAACTTCATCATACAACGTGTAACATCAAATCAAGTCAATTCATTTTTATCAGCACCATATCTTCTACAATCTCAAAAAACGATTTAATCGTGTTTTTGATGACGTGAATGTTCATATACGTATGTGTTGTATGCATTTGTGACGGATGCATTCATCATATCGACCAACTTAAAACGAGTAACACTTCGAACAAATTGAATTTTCAGAAGAGAAATTCGATTCTGAAATGGGTAATACGAAATCAACAGAGAATATCGTCAGCAAACAACGCAACGCGTCACTATCTCGATTGACAATTCCAGATGATCGAAAATTGAGTATTGCAACGAAGAAAGGGGCAAAACGGTATTTGCATTTGTTTACAATGTTTACGCCTTATCGAAACTTTTTGAGAAATTAGCCGTTGTGATGTCCAATAAACGTACTGAATAGGGTGAGATTTTTAATCGCCACACAAATTGTTGATTATCACTCCAATTTTTTTTAGTAAATCATTCGCAGCTTCTATCTATCATTTTTCCTTACAATGATTGATGTGTACACCTTGCAACCCAATCAACCGTTATTCACACGAAAACAGATGAATTATTTGCAAAATGAAAAAATCAAAGATGGATATTTGGATAACAAATGGATGAATTTCAAGGTTGAGTGTCAGTAGTCAAGGCAGTCAAAATAGTCGAACGTTAAAACCTGTATTACCTCTGTCACAACGTCAGATTGTAAAAGGTTGTATGGATAATTCAAAGGATGATATTGCTGAACGTATCTACAGGCGAGTATTGGAGAAACGTGACGATTTCAGAAATTTTGTTGAATCGCTTTCTGCCGTACGTTTTTATAAGCTCTTATTGCTGTTCTTAAAAGTCATTAGAAATCGAAAAGATCTTGCTTTGAATATCGAACAACGTAAGTCGTCACGCACTTATGCCCATAATCCCCTTCATGTGCACGAGTAAAACATGTTGTAGATTGACACAATCGTCATGATTCTGAAGTGAACGCACTCCGAAAACGTTAAAATTACCGCATNTTATTTAGTGTAATGATATTTCTGTTCCACACTTTTGCCAAACTGGTCTGTTCCGCCCTTCAGTTGTCCTTTCTTCTGGAAATGTTTCGTTGAATTTCTTGGAATAGAACAGGAATAGAGAGCACTCTGAATGGAATAGAAACATAATCAGTGCAGTGTAAGCGTCACTGAAATTTGGTATGCAAATAGGATTTCATTATGCACTAACGTTTAATTAGAACGAATGAATGATTACAGGAACAGCGAAGTGAATTAGCTGATAACTTACGTGAATTCTTGAGAGGAGTTATTGAGAGACTGATGGATACCGAGGATGTGCAACGTTTATCGCATGAATTCGGGGAACAGCACGTTAAATATCGGTCGTTCGGCTTTAGACCTGATTATTTCGTTTCAACTGCTGATGCGGTCACCACTGAATGTGTCTTTCTAGATGCAGCCGTTCACCAACCTTCTGATACTCTTGCGGCTTGGTAAGATGTGCATCTCGATGTATTCAAGCTGTTTGTTCGATGAATTCATCGAGTCGTCGAACAATTATTGTGCCTTAGTTCATTCGCTGAAGAACTATCTTCGTTGANAATCATTTATGGAGTAGATTCACATTTCGATCCTTCGATTGATAAAATTTATGATGCATTTGAATTCATTTATGAGAAATCTGGACGAAATTCTCGTTCTTGCACTCTTCAGTGAATATCGGATTCTTAGGTGGAATCAACTCAGTAATGCCTGTGACAAATGATATTCGGTGAAAAGAAGTATTATGAGATATATGAAGTAGACTGGCCAGATGCACTGACACAAGTAACCAGCCGTACTGATACGATTCTGTACTGAAATTTTCTTGATTAATACATGCATTTCATGTTAACGGTTTGAATCGATTCGGATAGAGTCACAATGAATATCTGAAGACATCTTCAATCATTTCAGGTCAACTCTAACGACCTTGATGTTCAGCTCAGTGCGAGATGGCTATTATACCGAACTTCGAAGACAGAGAAGAGCATCAAATTGCGCGACTAGGACAAAAATATCACAAGAAAGTGGTCCGGATGAAAGTAGTAACCAAAAAGAGAACACAACGACATCAAAGCAAAGTAGAGGAAGTCGGTAGGATAATTCATACTGACTAGAGTTGAGGACTATCAGATTTTTTGGTGGCTAGCGACTGAACACCTTATCGATGGGCATTCTTGAGCATCACTCGGCTTCGATGGATGCTCATCGAAATTCGGTTTATCAAGGCAACTAATCGAACGATCAGTCTTGATCAGTGGTGCCAACAACCGATTTTCNAAAACGTTTCAGATCACTCTCTCCAATTGTAGCCACAAATAATGATGTTTCACCAAACGACCTAAACGACGAACCATCAAATGATCAACAGACCACTGAAGCGTCTGAACGATTGCAATCGCAGAATGATGAAGGTGATCTGGCGTTAGAGGAGGATACCGACCAAACTGACGACGCTTATTCGAGAGTCGACGTCGCTCGAAGAATAGAACGAAATAAATTTTTAGCCACGCAACAAATTCAAACTTGAAATCATTTTTTTTTTCAATGTTCTTCATGCTATATACATGACACAATATGACAGTTCACGGTATATCAAGATGTCCCATCTCCATATTGCCCCGATTTTCGACGTTAAGCCAGGGATTAGACTAAGAGCCAGGCCCAGGCTCAGGCGGAACTGGGACCCGAATTCTGTTCCCGATGAACTCCATAAAGACGTTCCTTTCAAAGTTAAAAATCATCGGTCTTCAGACTATCCCAGTGAAACATTTTGACAGACAGTCATATTGCTTTGAATTATTCAATTATGTATCCATACAGAAACCAAATATTTATTTGTTTTGATTATATTTGTGACATGAATAAGGCTGATAATATCGTTATTTGATTATGATGATGAAAGTGATGTAATATTCTTTACTGATTCGTTTCGGATTATTATTATCATTCGAAGTATATATTTTCATACTTTCTCGTATTGAATTTCTGAGATCGTACTGCGGTGAAGTATTCAAATAGTGCTAATTGTGACGAAATATTGTAAATAGTCTCAACTGCTTCATTTGAAATGAAAGTCCATGGTGATTAGGCATTTTACAATCTACTGATGGTTTGGTTAGGCGTTATTTGACATACGATTGGGTGTAAAGCTTTTTCAATTCGTTTTCAAACCGCTAGATTGAATTCTTTCAATCAAAACTTCATATGATACTCTTGCTTTAGCAAGGTCAGCATGCCAGTCATTGAGATTGGAGCAGTGAAGCATTGCACTTGGACAGAGGTTGTTTTGATAACGGGCTGACAATTAACTGATTCAATAACATTGCTTTTTCCACATAAATAACAATTTGATCGAAAACAAAATTGTTTTCTAATGAGGAAGTAAGATTGTTTTTCTCACGTAGTATAAAAACAGCTCTTTGAGAAGTGTTTTCTCACGATGAAGTAATTTTTTTTTCTGTTCTGCGTTCGTGTTTACGCTTGAAAGACTTTAGAACTGATTTGATGGTTGAGTTGCTGCTAATCACAACCAATGATTTCACCGGACAGAATTTCTGCCATTTTTCGAAGTTGCCTTGGAGTTTTATTCATTCTGAATTGTAATTTCGATGAGCAGTAGACTGCTACCCTGCAGATTGCACCACATGAATTCATTATCAACCTGTAAACGACGGTCTTCTGGAAAAAAAAAACAAGATTTTAAGGAAGAAATCGACACCGGGAACTATCGACGCTTGAGCTCAGAAATGTCCAGTACTGTTGAATATATAAGTGTTCAGGGTTTGATCGTAAAGCAAAGGCCAGGCGTCAGCCTGAGACTAGGTTTAGTAGCCTGAGTCTGGGCCAAAACGAGTTTTGACGTTTTTCTATCAATATTATCACACGAAAACGGCTTCATCTCCATTTTCAGGCGCACTGTAACGTGAACTGAAAAATTCATGAATATGGTGTTCATTCCTGACTCGAGTTAGTTTCCCATTTGACTGATGACTCCTCTGGCTCCAGTTTGGCAACTGTGTTATATTGTTCGAGTCATTTCTGTGAATTCCCTGAGTGACTTCTTCATCGTAACGTAACTGCATCAATACTGCAATTGAAGATGTTTAAAATAGATGTGTTAGTGAAGTATTCAATTTGAATTATTCAGCATTTCATCAGATCACAGAGCAATGTTTTGATTGCGACCAAATTATTCTGCTGAGTTATTGGAATGTAACATAGGTTGTCATTGAAAAGTGAATAAATTGGTGGTTGCATGCTGAGATCTGTTTATCGTATCTGTTTCAGCAATTCACACTTTTCCATTTTCGTGAGTCTTCACTTCAAATATCATTCATCGGTACTTGTTTATCCATGGACAAACATTCGGTGCCAACTCGTACAGCCAGAAACATTTGAGAGTGGAATATAGTTTTTGATCGTATAAGCCCGACGTGTGGCCTCGCAACTCAACTAACTGTAATCCTTTCAGTATTGCAGTCAAACTACCTTCAGTAATGAGACTGAAGGTGGAAAGTATTTCGAAGGTTTTCTTCTGAGGTTATGAAACAGGCAAATTGACTCATTCGTGTCGCATGAGTGCTTATTGAATTTCCTTACGATGAGTTCATTGAATGACTGTCGTCTAGAACAGTGGCTCTCATAAGCGGTGAAATTACCCATTTTGAGTAATTTGGAGGTGTTAACGGGTAATAGAGGGGCTCGGGAAATTAATATTTCTTGCAGTTGTCATTTTATGATGGAATGCCATTGTGATGGTGTTTTTTAATTCTGGTATGTAAATGCGGTTAGTTGATGGGAGCACTCCTCATCCTCCTATTTTCTGAGTATCATTAGCTCTTCAGGGCCCGACAA